TACTACATAATACTACATAGCACATACTACATACTACATAATACTACTACTAACTACTACTACTACTACTACTACTTCTCCTGCTACTACTACTACTACTACTACTGCCACTGGTACTGCTACTGCTACTGCTCCTGCTCCTGCTCCTGCGCCTGCTGCTGCTGCTGCTGCTGCGGCTGCTGCTGCTGCGACTGCTACTGCTACTGCTACTGCTGCTGCTACTACTACTGCTGCTGCTGCTGCTCCTACTACTACTACTACTACTACTACTACTACTACTACTACTACTACTACTACTACTACTATATACTACTACTACCACTACTACCACTACGACGACGACGACGACGAGGACGACGACGACGACTACTAGTACTACTACGACTACTGCTACTGCTACTGCTTCTACTGCTACTACTCCTGCTTTGGGGGGGTGGCTCTGCCACAAACAAAAGGCGAAAGTTTGGCGAAAGTTCGGCTCAAGATTGGCGAAAGTTCACCCTGCCACATCTGACCCCCAGCCCATTATGAGTAAGTCTGAGCGACCGGCTACTACAGTGATTCTTGCAAAGAGACGTACAGGGTGTCAACAGTTAAGGAGAAGACACATTCTGACAAACAGTGAAAGTTTATTTTGTATCTGCCAGCAAAGAAGAAGCCATTGACATGAAACAATGATATCCATCATGCAACATGCATTGCAAACATAGATACAACATACTTCGGCGGCAGATAAAACGCAGGAAGGCAAACACTTGGCTAAATTATTTTTGTTGGCTAAACATGACGGATCCCCGATAAATAAGTTTAGATCAACACCCATATATTTTACTGATATTCTCAGCCTGATATTTGTGAGAACATTGCTTTGAAGGTTCCATAGGCTCTGTTTTCCTTCCATGTGCGTTCACGCAAAGGACGACGACGGCGAAGGCATGCATTGTGGCTCCAGAGCAAAAGCCTCTTGAGTGAACGAACTCCCGGACTGGATTTTACCAGTCGTTGGTATTGGACCGATCACAGAACAGGTTGATATTTGACCCAGTCCTTCTGGACTGTCAGGATCTCTGACCTTGGCAAGTTGTGTTACAGAGCCGGCCCCCCCATTGGTCGGTTGAAAGGCAAAAAACAAAGAAAACGACTGGGAGAACTCAATATGTTATGAACTCACATTTCATTGTGAACAGCAAACACGTACTTCTCTTGCAGCATCCAACGACCTCCACTGCACAAGAAGTCGACTTCCATGACACAAAGTGATTCAGAATTCAGACTGCCTCACAGACTTCCCGGTGCAGACGGTGCACCATGTCGGCTCGATGGTCCTTGGAAGGCTTCAAAGCTGTCGTGACAGGCCGGAGCTTTGCACAGTTGGGGGCTGGCACGGTTGGGCGACCTTTTTTTGGGTGGGGAAACGAAGGTGAAGGCATTCTCCAGAGCCTGGTCATAGAGCCTGGTCCAGGCAGTTATCCGAGGGCTGGTCATTAGGACACTCACCCGTCAGGGGCACTTCAGAACCACCAGGCAACGACCAACTGACAAAAAAAACAACACTGAAAGAGATAATGTAGACTCTTGATTAATGAAGCACCCAATTGAAACGGACAATCCTCTTCATATGGGGAGTTTATGGTCCTCAAGAGTCTACATTAGGGTTTGGCTGAGGTCCGGAGGGTCCGACCCCATGGAGGGTGACCGAATTGAATGCTGGCGTCGACCGTGGTTGGCCACACCGAGATTGGCGGAGATGGGCCACACCGAGAGTCGGGTCGTGCCGGATCCACCGAGAGTCACTTCGATATAGGGGGAGGGTTGAAATTCAAGAAGTATTGCAGGGTTCATGGGGTGGCGCATATATAAAACAATTGGTTCACAGGGTTGGAATCAACAAGTGCAAGCCGCAGTCATTGTTGGATTGCTGCAGGCCTGCAGGGAAACTTGTTTACAAGGATCTCATGTTCTTTTTTCCTTTGCCCAGGTTCTACAAAAGGCCTTGGACGTGCTTGCGCAGCTGAGATGTTGGCCCTGGGTGCTGAAGTAGATCCTTGCCTTGGCATATGTTGTTTTTTTGACCACTTCAGACTTGAGACCATCCATGTTGACACGGCTCAGGTGATTGTTGATCATTCAAGAGGCACCATGAACAAACAGGTACAGTTCTTAAATGTCTTAAGCAATTGCCGGGCCAAAGTCATTGCAAAATTGCTCTTAATAACTCTTATACGTCCAATCCTTCCTTTTGTTAATGTAAATGTACACATATCTCAGGTATTCTATATATAATATAATGATTAGATATACAGTGGTTTCAGAGTAGATGGCGCAAACATATATACATAGAATATACAGTTGTTTCAGAGTAGATGGCGCTGACCTCAAGATGTCCTTTACATGGGGTTTCGTGCAAACCACCTTTGTGCCATCTACTCTCAATCCACTATAGATATCCTAGTACTGCTCCTGGAAGCGGCTGCAACTCAAACATGTGAGGTGATCACTGCCCGAAAGCCGGAAGAAGTAGAGGCGCGGATTGAAAGCCAGATCCGCAAGCCAGAGCGATCTCTCCATTCTGTAACAATTTGGCCGGTTCTTGGTGTTTTTTGTTTTCTATGTTTTTCTAGGTGAGATGCTAATAGGACACCCTTTTTTGCCCACCACTGCGAATAACAAACGGTTGTTGTTGAAAGAAAAACCACCCAAGTGTGGCCACTTGCAACTTTGGTTGGATGATGCGAAAAGAGTACTCTGACAGCGTGCGGAGCTTTCTTGCCTTGAGATGCTGCTTGTGATTTGAAGAGTGACAGTTCTAATCTCAGAGGGTAAAGTAGGCAAGTCAGGAAAAAACGAATGGCAGTACATGAAGCACAAACTATACTAGCAGTATCAACAAGCTATGAATAATTACACGTAAACATGTTGACGTCGTATTGTCAGTGGGTGTCGTTTGCGCGCCTGTGTGATCCATTTCCTTCTGGCATGGAACATACACCCTTTGCAAGGCTTCATACACGTTCTGCCAGGTAGAGGCACAGTTGACACAAAGAGTCAAGGGTGACATAAATCAGACACCTTGCAACCAGACAGCGCATACATACAGCGTAGTCATCCATATCTCCAAGATTCTCCAAGCAAGGTGACGACCAACCTCCAGTATGCAAGTACCATGCAGGCTTTGAGTATGACCATCATTTGGACATTCGGAAAAAATAATCGCACTCCGGCTGCCGCGCAAAAGTGCCAAAAGGAGTCTTCACTTCAAAAGTTCCAAACATCCATACCAAACTATAACATATACCTAGATCTTCAGTCCGGCACTTTTACAGGGTCCGGCGCCTGACTTCCAACTCCGGCGTTTTTCTGGGTTTGGTCCGGCAGTTTTTCCAAGTCACTTTATGTGGATTTCCCGGCTTTGCATTCTTTGTGCTTGAAAGTGTGCTCGTTTGCCTGTTCAGCTGTCTCATTCCACCGTGGTTCACACTGGCTCAATCAAATTCGTTTAGGTGATCTTCCAAATGAACTCGATACAGTGCGATGCACGTGTTGAAAGATGCAAGTGGGTGTACCCAAGCTGAAGAAACATAGGCGGTAATGTATTGTGCTTCAGGATGTCGGGGCGCTGGGAAATGGTTTTTGCAGAGCCTGCCGGACAAGTTTTGGGTTGTGTAGCGTGTGTTGTTCAGAATCTCAATGTTTTGCAGAGAGCTGCCCAAAAAAGGGCGCGTCGTAACTCCGGCGTAACTTCCCGTAACTCCGGCGTAATTTCCCGTACTCCGGCGTTTTTTTCCGGGCTCACTCTTTTGAAGGTTTTGAATCTTGAAGGTTTTGACTGGAGCCACGAGTTCTGATACGCATATTACGGGGTCGAGGCCCTGAGGCAAACCAAAAAATCCTGGAGAGCAACCCACTTTGTAAAAGAGCTTCAGAGACACGGTTGCAAAGAAAGAGGGGTTCCTTGCCTCCTTGGTTTGTTCTTGGAAGTCTTTGCTTGGGCACGAGTTTGCTTATATGTTGTGAAGGTTCTTCTCTTAGGCATTTCAGAAGATGGGCGAGGGCAATGGGAAGGGGAAGGCTCCAGTGATTGGGCTGTGGAATGAGTGTGTTCCAGAAAAACGACCGTGGTGCAGAGGCAGTTTGCTTGTGTATGATCCATCTGGGTTTTTCAAAATTTTGGATCCGGATGTTTTTCCAGGTCGTCGGCGTTTTTTTTCGGAATCCGGCGGAAAGTTTTGCCGGACTGAGGTCCGGCACTTTTTCGAGCCTAAAGGAGGATCCAGGTTTATATATGTGTTTTTAATAGTAGTATTGTGTATAAATAACATACCTTTGCCACTAGTTCGCGGCACTGAAACCCTTCGCTCCAGGCGACCTGTTGCGAACTGAGCACTGCCCTCCGCGGCGCGAAGGTGAAGGGCCTAGCAGCCGATGTGTCCACCAAGGAGGGCCGCCAGGCGGCGAAGCCCGCGGCTCGCGACGGGAGGGCCCCTCCCGCGCCGCGACCTCTGAAGAGGTCACCAGGATTTGGTTCGGATTCGGTTCGGTAACATCTTGGAAACTGGTGCAAGGCATCCAGATTTTGGATCCTTTTGTTGTTGTGCCACTTGTATTGGGAGACAAAAAATCTACCGAGCACTGAGGCCATTGGGCGAGGGAACGTTTCTTTTTTGATTTTTCTCCTGTGAAGCCAAAATAGATGGTTATTACTCTAAAATACACTATATATGATATACATCTCATAGTTATTCGATGTTATTTGTGTGTATGTGCGTACTGTGTACTGTGTATAATGTATACCTGACATTTATAGACAATTACAATAATTGACTCCAGACAAACAGCGTACAAGTCAAGCACACCTTATTTTCTTGAGCTGGACAGACATCGAGCCTGACAGGGGAAGGGCAGAGAGATAGCACAGCACTGGGACTGGGCTGGGGAGTAGCAACTGCATTTTTGAAGGTAAGGATTGTTTTGGGACATTAGGGGTTTTCAGTTTTGTGTGTAGGACCGAAGTCTGGTGTAAGGGATTTTCATTAAAACTTTATGAGAGTATATGTGTCCAGGTCCAGTGAAATAGAAATAGAGATGCTTAAAGTGTTCCACAAGGGATGGGCAGGGGAATCTCTAGACTGAGATGTGGTGTTTTCGAGGATTCTTCAGCCAAAGGCATGATGTTGAACAATAGTTGAACATCTGTGCTCAATCAAGATGGGACATGTTCACAATCAAGATGGTCTTACGTTATCAGGTGACGAATGAGTTTCTCAAGCTTCGCTCGGGCTCGAAGCCGTGGAACGACACCTGACGCGACACCAAGCTGTTCGTGGTTGGCCCGTGACCGGTGTCGCACCCCTGAAGGCTCTGGTGGATTTCGTTGGAAAGCTTTGGGGCGGCGTCTTGGATGGTCTCGTCAACAACGTGGGCACCAACATTCGAAAAAACATCGAGGAGGAACGAGAAACGTGAAACATCGTGAAACAAGATACACAAAGGGGGTTCTTGGATGAACTCTACTGAAGAACTGGTCACAGATGAAATCTAGATGCAAACAAAGCTAGACTGAGGTTTGCCTATATATTGTTTTGGTTTGAATATCAATGTGATATTGTTTGGAATTGCTATGTTCATGGTTATTCGTCGTGTTCTCTTTGAGCCGGTAAATTTGATGCTGTATCCTTGGGGGGGTGATTTGTTGTGGCTGCTTTTGATGGCTTCGTCGGGCTGTTGAGTGATCATAATTAGATATAATTAGCGATGGCCTCCAACCTGCTAGCTTCTAGCTGCTAGTAGCTTACTTGTTACTATATTCATAGTAGGATTTGTTTGCTTTTGATATCTTTTGATGGCTTCGTCGGGCTTTTGAGTGATAATTAGTTTTCGGAATCTTTTGATTTGTATGTGTCCTGTCCAGGGAACAGGCAATCTGTAGAGTTGGATTTGACATTTTTGAGCCGCTCGACGATCCTTTCGAGCCAGGCTTCAATTCACATATGTTCATGTATGTTCATTAGTTGTCTCAATCTATCCATTTGGGGTCCCGTTGTCGGCGCGTGCCCCATGATCCATTGGTCCGGCTATTCAACCAGTTGGGGCTTTGAGGCTGCGACACCGTTTGCAGGCATCTGAAGAGGAGTACCACAACATGATGAGGACGAACGTCGACTCCTGTTGGTTCCTTTGTCCCTTGGCGGGTGACAGTGTCGGATGCATGGCAAACAATTCAACTTGAGGCTCCTGGCCTTACTACTAGGAGCAAGGACGCTACTAGGGGCGCATAGTTGGTGTGACTCGTGGAAGTTGAAAGTTGTTATTGTTACTGTAGTTGACGAATCTTTGTGTTTGGCCCAGTCAGGTGATACGTATGAGAACCCGTCAGCAAGAACCCACTTGATTGATTGGACTCGTGATACTTTCTTCGGCAGCCAGGGTATTATTAGCCACCTTTGCCGGGAGCCAGCACAGATCGGTACAGTATAGCCAGTGTTGCTGACCAAATTGTTCATGCCTTTCCCTTGCAAGGATACTTGCAGTGTTTGCACCCACCGTTACTGCAGGGACTTTTGCCCAGACCCCTTCATGAGATTGAGATCTGTTGATGATGACTCAATATGAACTCCCGTTTCGGTGGCAACACAAGATCCAAAACGAGATTTGATCTGTGGCAGAACCTGGATGAACCTGGCAGATCCAGTATGAACACATCCACATTCCGCTCCTTACCTTGGGTGGTGAGGGACGAGTCTTGGGAGCCTCGTCCAGCCTGGGAGTTCCCAGAGACTCCGTGGAGGGCGCTTCTTGGAGCTAGAGATGTGCCGTTGTTCTCGGCTTTTGAGGAATCGTTCCCCAAGTCTTCAACTATGAACATGTGACATTATGTATATGTCATGAGTTACATTATTCGCGCCGCTACGCGGCTGGTTCTGCCCACACCGCAGAGCTATCTGCTGAACCCGGCCACAGCCTTTCAATTATTTTGCTGTGTTCTTTGCTTTCCTAGTTGGTATCAGCAGGGCAGTAGTATAGGATAGTTGGACTCCGTCCCGGCTCTGCCTGGCTAATACGAACCCCTAGCCAGCTAGAGCCGTACCATGAAGCCGCCGATGTTTGTTTATGCCGGTCCTACCTGGCTATGTTTGACCAAATCTTCACAAACCCGACGTCGTTGCTTTTTTCAACTGTTTCAAGAACGCCTCAGACATTTGCGCGACCCAAAGCCTTCTTCAAATGCTGTTATTTACGACGTTTTTGGCACTCGATGTTCAACTAACCTTCAAAACTTTGGTTTCGACAACCCGACAATGGGTCTCCCGAGCTAAAGCTGAACTCTTGCGATTGACTATGCCAGCCGGATACACACGGGCCCCAGCACCGAAGGTGTGCGGGCGGACTTTAGTATCCGCTCGCAAGATCTTGCAAGCATGGAAGTCCTTGTTTTGAATGTGTTGTGTTTGTTGGACGATCCTGTTGACTGAGTAGTTTGGCTTCCACTTCCATCCTCCAACTGGGCGGTTCTTGTGTTGTCCTGGCTCCGCAACTCACCACTGGCACCTCGCGTTGCAGGCAAGATGTTCAAGCCCATGCTGGGGCGCTCTTCCAGGGGCTCCGTCGCCACCTGGGCAGCAGAATCCAGGAGGGAGACCAATGTTGACCATGAGGTGAAACGTGTTGACAATGGATTTATAGAAAAGAGATGAAAAGAGGCTCCTTATCCTTGTCTTTTTTTTTGACATGGTTTGTGACATGGAATTGTGTTGCCAGGTTTTGTTGCTGTGAAGGATTCAATCATCATAGAATTAGGATCGAACGTGGCTTAATTATTGCAGTCAAACTCCGAAACATGCTCTTGTTTGGGCAGGGAATCGTGTGATTCTTCATCAACTGCCCCTCGCCTTGACCCTCATTTGAGCATAGGAAGCTTTACATATTTGCTTCCCACTCAAAATGGGCTTGGAGTGCATCATATCATAGTGAAGCTAGGAGGGGAGGACTTTGCTTGTTTCAGATGTTTTTGAACCCGAACCCTTAGTGAAGTTCACCAAATCTCAGTGAATGCTATACCAAAGTCCCCACGTTTTTCGTTCATTTCACTGACTCTATACCTTGAAACTCATCAATCCCAGCAGCCGTCCCATGCCGTCCCTCAATCTCTAAGTCCGAAGGCTTCGGTGGATCATTCCCAAATCCTCGGTCCGCTCAGTTGGCAGCTCGGTCCGCATGCCACGTCCGGCTTCCACGTCCCGGCTTCAACCGCTTCCCCATGGGGACCGGTCGGTGAAGCGAGCGCTCTGGACCAGTTTCCGGGGGACCGAGGTGAATATCTCCAGCGCCGCGGGGGTGCGCAGCACAGGTACCGGCTCGGTCTACGCGATGACCAAGGCGGTGCGGTGCTCGGTCTACGCTCGGTCTACGCTCGGTCTACGCGATCGCTTGGTTGGAGTTGGGGGAGGAGTCGCTCCTAGTGCTTAGGACGCTACAAGTATGGACGTAAGTCGTCGCTCACGCTCTCGCACGCTTCAAGGAGCTTGATTGGGTCAGATCACTGGAGTTTGGATGAGTTTGGCTGTGTAGCGGATTTTGCCTCGTGCAATGCTGGCGATGGTTGGTTTCCCTATGGGTCAATCTCCTTCGGGAGAATATCATGGACCTTTTTGTTCCCGAATCCTGAATCCGAATCCTTAAGCAGCTCCAAGTAAGGAAAACAGCTAATTAGTTTGACATGCGGATGACGCCCAAACTCATTCGGATGTGAACCATTCTCAGAAGCTAGAACTCCATGAGCTATCAGATCATGAGCTTCAATCTTCAGTGGGATTTTGGCTCCGGTGAAGACTGTCATGACCTGTTTGGGATGTGAACCGTTTCGATGTTGCAAATTGGAAATGGATGAGACACTCGGTTGACTCGGTGAAGAAATACATCGAATGTTTGTGGAGGAACTCACAGCATTTTTGGATGAACCATGATGAACCCGGTTTTAAGATGTTTTAACCTGTTCATGGCTCTTCCAACTTGAGGCCACACGGCGATACGTGTTTTCGCTGAGGCTATGGCTCACCTGGCATGCAGCCTTGCGTGTTTCTTGGACAGAAGTTGGGGTGCAGTTAGGAGAGGAGGAAGCATCCCACTCGTACGATTCATAGGAGAATTGTACGGGTGAACAGGGGTGAAGTGAATGGACCATGGATGGTCCTTTTTTTCGATCGATGTGGACAGCCTCCTTACAGGAATTCTGGGCGTTTCATGGTACTTACGCAATTGAAACGCATAAACAAAACATAACAAAACACATCATTGCCTCCTGATCGCTCCTGGTATAGTCATGATGTCCCACCCGATGGTGAGACGCTCAGTGCCCTACCAAGGCGAATGGGGCCCACTCGGAATCCGAGTGAATTGTGTCTCTTGGCGTCCTTTGGTGGGGTGGTCCCGCTGGTCGTGCTGGCGGAACCTTGGAGAATCGTTCAACTTTTGGGTCCACGGTCTAGAGCTGCCTAAGCTGGTAGATTGAATTGTCGCAAATGTCGCAATCTTCTGACAGATCAAACAAGTTTGTTATTTTTCTTTAACGACCATGACAGCCTACTAAGTTACTAATCTGCACTTTCAACTGGAACCTGCAGGTATGCCCTTGGATGGCGCGAACTCCATTGTTGGAAGAGGCTGTGACTTGGACCGCAAAAAGTTCGCTTAGGTGTCCTGGGTTTCAGGAACATGGTCAGCTCTAACTCCAACGAACTTGCAGAACTTCATACTTCCTTTGCACACCATGTTGGTCAGAGTGTGTGGCAGGCCAATGCAGTATTTCATATTATTTCAACCATTCCCTTCCATTTGTGTGGCCACCCCCTGTAGAGGCAAAAGACTTTGCAAATGCCTTTTAAATCCTTAAAACGATCATCAGAGGTGATCTCCAGATTCTGTATCGTTGACGTCTCATACCAACTCAACAGGCACCCTTGATATCGAACTCCGACTCAGTTCCGTGTGGGATGAGAAACTTGGCAATTGCAGAGCGACCTCCTTGGCGCACCAGCCACAGCAGCGAGATCACCTAGGTGAAGAACAATCCTCAGCAATTGGAGGATGTGAAACGTGCAACTTGCCCCAAGTTGCTCAGTGTTCGGAAGGGCTTGCGGATATCCTTGACAATGAGCACTGCTTGACCGGTGAGAGGTTGCTTAATTGTTTTAGGTCCGAAACTTCCAAGATCGAGCCAGAGTAAGCGAAAGCATGAACCAAGTTTTGCTTGTCCGAGCTTGGTTTGGGATACTCTCCCTGGAACTAACATGGAAGTGGAAAACACCCTGTTTGTAGAGGAAAATGGTCTTCCAAGAGGCCATTGTCCACTTCCATGTTAGTTCCAGGGAGTGTAGGGACAACCTTTGTGGATCTTTGTGGTAACTTGTTGGCTATTGCAACCTTGTATCGTTTGTTCAAGTATCGTTTGGAACCTTGTCAAAGCCTCACTGCGATCAACTCATGCTTTGCCTTGGAGTTCTTGACGGTCGGATTTCGCACCTCGGAAATAGCGAAGCGGTGACGATTAGCAGGAGTGGTGACACTATTAATGTACTTACACACCTCAACTGGTTACTGGTTTGCATTCAGCTGCATGTGGATGTTTCAAGATGTGTTGAATTGTGTTGATATTTGTTGATATCGAAGAGATTCTCCAGTTATTCGAGCTCCTTGAGTTACAGTAGAGGCTGACGAAAATCCTCGTGTTCAACATATTTCTGGTGAATTGGCCCATGGATGCCCATGGCTAATTCCAAAGGCTGGGACCACTTGGGGCCTCTTAAGAGTCATTCCCTTCAAAGAAGTGGCTTCTACTGGTAGCTTCTCAGGTTTGGGGGGGGGGTTCAGACAACCAGGATGAACCAGCTGGGGCCGCATTGAAGATCAAAACCGCTTGAGACGGGGATCCCCCCGACCAATGAACCCGGGCGAAACCGGGGCTGGCCCGAGCGACAGAGGACGCGCGGGCCGGCGACGGGCTCAAGCAAGGATCGACAGTCTTTGGGTGGAAGAATGTGGTCATCAACTGCCCTGAACCAACTAGCTTCTAATATTTCCAATAACATAGATACAATTATCATGTATATAGATCATATGGGTAACCAAAATCTTAGGAGGGCCCCCAGAGCTGTGAACACGATGCTGGCCATGTACTGTAGATAATGGTTCGACATCGATTGCAAGAACAGGACATGTCCCGCAAATGAGACATGATGAGACAAATCCACCGTTTGTACGGAGCGGGAACTGCTCCCAGTGTCCGATGGTGACCGATGTAGACCACCGTTTCCGACCCACGAGGGAGTCAGACAACGACGAAGTATGGACTTCACATCCCATTTGTAGCCGAGGATGGTGTCGTGTGATGTTTCGTTCCTATGATGTTTATTTGTGACTGTCAGAGGGAGTCATGAAGCTCGGACAGAGAAGTGAAACCCGGACTTTAAATTGATCACATCCTCGTGCCCTTTCACTCCAGTGCCTAGACACACATCCTCTCTTGGAACGTCCACCGCCTCGAGCGCCTCGCTCGGCCGGCGATCCGTTCGAAAGATCGATCGACGCAGCTCGACGCGTCCTCGACGCCATGGCGGTCACGTCTCGACGTCCTCACGTTCTCCGAGCGTTAGCTGCGCTGGCCTTCGCGGCTTCCTGGGTGTCATGCGCACGAGCGTTGGAGATGGCTTCTGAGCGAACATCAACACCTGGTTTATTTAGCGCAGGGGAGAGAAGGGTGGAGAGGAATAGTGCAGGCAAAGCGATTCAGGCCTGAAGTCTTCTGATAAAGAGTTGAGATTATAGTACCAAGGCCGAGAGCATGAAGTGTGAAGTGCTAAGCAACGAGTCAGTAGTTTTGACGGCGACACATGCAATTCAGAGTACTGAGTACACAGTAGCATAAAGGGCAAGACATATAACAGTGAAACAAAAGGTGTGCAGCAGCTCAAAAAGCTTTGGTGTGCTCAGGAGATAAAACTTAGAAATCAGTTTATATGTGGATCAACTGCACTCCTGTACTCTCCATGTTCTTTTCCAATGCAAGTCTCCTCTTCCTTTTTTTTCTACCCTTGAAGACTATGACTAACAATGGAACACAGTACGGTGAGAAAGGCGCACAGAATTGTTGACGGGTCAGGTCAAGTAGATTGATCCGTTCTGCTTGTTTTCCTCCGCTGGCTGAGACTACTCTACTAAACGTTACAGTACTCTGACCTTCCCTGTTCTTTCAGACTGATAGCGAAAGACAATGCAGCAAGACAAAGACGCGGTAGAGTAGGGTATGGTAGACATTCCTTCACTTTGCCGCAGCCACTCTACTCCATCATACTTGATCAACGTTGTTTTTTCAATTGAAAGGACACATGCAAAAGTGGAACTTGTTAACTTTCCGTGAAAGCAAATGTGTGAAGCTTCTTGTTCTGCGAAAGCTCGCGAAAGCGCCCCGCGCAACCATCCAATTTTTGAGCCGCGAAAGCAAACTGCGAAATCAATATATATATATATATATAGTGAAGGTAAGTGGTATAAAGGCAAGCATGAATCTCACACGTGCACACAATCTCACAGCACTTCATTCCAGGGTAGCTACTGGAGTGGTGCAATGAAATGTTTGGTCGGGCAGCTTTCTCCTCAACTTGTTTTTTGGGTGGAAGCATGAAGTGTCAGATTCGTGTGAAATAGTGTGGAAACGTGACATGTTCAAGTGTGAAGGATGAATTTGGTGCGGAGGCGCGAAGTCGCCGATTGCGAACCGTCAAAGCACAAGATCTAAGCTGATCCCCATGAAAGCTCTGCGAAAGCACCTACAGCCTCCACCCAACCAATCCCCTTCCGACGCCGCCTGGCCCAGAAGAGTTTCCAGCCACAAAACCTCCCCGCAACTCGTGGAGAAGAGGTCTTGTTGTCCCAAGCTGCTGCTCGCCTACACAAGCAAGCAAAGCAACGCCGTCAAACTGCTTCCTTGCAAGCTGCCTCGCCTTCTTGCACTGCTTCGCCCGCTGCTGCTTCATCTTCACCTGCCTCTGCCACTGAATAATGTCTTCTGGCTGAAGAAACGGATTTGTCCGATGCACCGCGAAAGCGTTCGCGTAGGCAACTTTGATAAACATGTGCATCGCGTAGGCACCCTTCGCAGCCGCGAAAGCTCGCGAAAGCTTGGGCCAAGGTTCTGTTTTTGTGTATAGGCCCCAAGCATAAAAAAGACAATGATCACTTGGTGATTGTCAATTCGCACGTAAGGCGCGCCTCCAACTTTTGGATGAACCACCCAGAATGGAGGGCTAAGATGGACTGCGCACGGAGTAGGGTACAGGACTACTAAGGGTAGAAAAGAGTCGGGGCCAGTACAGTGGAACATTGTTGGGCAAAGCGATTGGAGCCTGAAGTCTTGAGTATTGAAGATGAAAGGATTGTTGCAAATGATCAAGATTGATGGTAAAGAGTATGAGGCATGAAGGGCTAGGCCAAGAGGTTTGCTCACAAAGCTGTAGCCTGTGTCGGACAAGGAGCCTTGGAAGAGCTTACATGGCTACGGCCAGAAACATAAGCCTTGGATCACACACCCAAACCCACACACGATCCATACCTCGATCCATGGGGTATGGATCAAAAGGTGGGTGTGTGATCCAAGCCCTTGGATCACAGGTGGCACTGGAGGTGCGCAGTAACAACGGCATGACCGCTCTGCACTTGGCCTGCTCCAATGGCATGTTTCACACAAGCAGGGCAATCCTATGGAGCATGTATCGCAAGGCCGGCGTGAGAATAATGCGTGGTATCCAACGTTGTGAACCAGCCTAATGTCCATGGAGCTGGGTGCGCGCCTTGTTCTTCAATTCACTTGTTTTTTTGGTCCGCTTTGGTTTTGTTGCTTGTAGTTCTTTTGTTCTGTTTTGGTTGCAGCTTTCGATTCCAGGTCGATCTGGCGTTGAGATGCCAGGTGAAATTTGCCCACTGGTTGCAGCGGAACTGGAACGGAAGGCCTTTGCGGCCCCCCGCCTGTAGCATGGCACGAGCGCAACCCCTGGCTTGGCAAACCCTGGTTGTAGGCCAGGGCCACTGGCCAGGTTTGAGCTTCAAAGCTTCCTACTAATTGTTGTGTTACTGATTGGCGGGGTGGGTAGGGCTAAGGGCAGGTAAGGTGGCGCAAGTATATGTTGGTGGTTTTCATGTTGAGTTGTTTTCGATCGCTTCCGAACTTGCTCCGCGTTGCCTTTCGATGTGTCCCTGGACAGGACCTCCGAGCATATTTGCCGTGGCTGCTGTGCCGACCATGGTGAGACTTTGGAGGGGGCCTGGTTGCGAAGGTGTTCCTCAATGACCTGACTGTCCCAGCCTTGAATAAGTGGACGGCTGTTGCCCCAGGCTTATGCCAGGTCACAGCGTTGCAGCAATTTTGGGGCTCCCAGAGGCCTTTCGCCGTTGCTTTCCATCTCCATCGCGGGCTACATCCAGCAGCTCTGAAGATGAACTCGTCCATGTTTCCTGGATATGGCTTCAGCTCCAAGCTCCGAACCATGCTGACAAACCAAGAGGCGCTGTTGTCAGATGAAGTGTTGTTGTTTCTGGACGCGGTCTTTGACCGGGTTGTTCCAACTTCAACCTTTATTGAGAGGACCTTTGCCCGCTTTAACCGCTGGTGCGATCGCAAGGGTCCCAAACCACAGTTGTCCTCTCTAGCCGCAAAGCATACTGTGTATCATTTTTGTAATTTGATCGAACGGTGGCGGCGAAAACAACAGAAAGAAGGCACAAATCCCAAGCCAAAGGGGAACTTATGCAGGCCTTCTGCCAGTGCCTCGCGGCGCTGCGGGCGGTGGCGCAAGCTGAGCACTTTGAGGCGAAGTGGGGGTTGGCAGGGTTGGAGATTGACTAGCTGCTGGCTAGGAAGGAGATAGAGCTCAGAATCTGGAATTTGGCTCATGAGGTATTATGTCTTGTTTTGATGCATTCTGTCTACCAGTGAAACAGGGAGTTCCTATCATCTATGTCGCCTCCTGAACGGCAGAGCTTGATCGTGGCATCCGTGCGATGGCATTGCGAGCCTGAGGCTAAGTCATCGGTCAATGAATGAAGG